GGGGGGGGGTCTTGTAAAAAGCATTTCCACATTATTCAACAAAAAACAGGAGAGCTGAGAAAACTGTCTGATTTGAGTTACATGAGGTCCATCAATGCTTTTCCAATATGAGTTATAGTCTTCAGCTCAGCTGTGGCCCCAGAGTAGCTTTTTTATTAGTTAATCTACAGATCCAACAGCAATAATCAGGTGCTTAACAAGCACAAATGACAAAAATGGATGCTTGTATTTTTAGCCTCGGCAGGTCTACAGCGAGGTTTGGTTTGGTGTTAGAATTCAGTATATGCATAAAGATATGTATATAAATATGTATAAAGACAAGTAGGGAAGACCAAGTAGCCTAGATATTATTTGGGATTATTATTTCATTTACTAAATTATCACATTATCATAAAATAGCAGATGATAAATATAAACATGAAGGGTTCAGTTGTTGTGAACACGTTGTTTTGCTCAATTCATAATATTACATCATTCTCATCTTAAAACTTCTACTTCATAATGTCTGTGACAGATTTATTTTGAGCCAAATTGATTTTTTCCCCTTATTAGATTAAAGTAAAGCAGACAGTTAAAGCAATACTGAGCGGTCAGAACACCTGGCACCATAACGTGAAATTGAGGCGTTACTGTTAACTGTGCAGTGACGGACAAACTGAGTCACTATTTCAAAAACGACAAACTGGGCGATGCAGAGAGAATCTGAAAGATACATTGATGTAGCATCACAGTCCCAGGATAGTCTTCCAGTCGGAGAGTGTTGCCTCCACAGATTTAAAAACTCAACACACAATCTCACGCGCATGTGATTATTCCTGATCATCACTGCATGTCTCACAATAAAATACACGTTTGTGGAGGTGCTTATTAGATAGAGCCTTACACGTGCAAGGCTTAAGGTAATCAGTGGTTTGTCACGCATCTCTCTCAAACTCCTCTCGCAAGTTAAACTATGATGGGCCATAGTAGCTACTACTACCTGTACTTCAAAATCGTGATGCTGGTGTTACTGGGATATGATGTCATTTATTTTTAAGAGCTTGTGAAGGAAGACAATGACGCTTGATGCTAAATGTGAGTCTTCCCTTCGCATAAGAAGTTACCAGCTGGATGTATTTTTGGACATAGAATCATTCATGACTGAAGGTCGGATGGCTCCAGTGGCGACTGCACTTCTAACCAAATCTGTGGTGTGTGTGTGTCAAAGCGCTGCCTCAAGTGGTGAAGAACAGCAATGCACACAATTATTTATGCCCACTTGCAGATATCCTGCATTAATAGGATGGTGCTACGTTTGTGTACTGATCATCTAGTAGTTTCACTTTGCTAAATACTTAAAACCCTCTTTGTCCTGAGCAGAGAGTGACCATAACAGCTGCAAGATGCTACACTTTTGCTCTTTTTGAAATGTCATTTATTCCCTGCCAACGTGCCAAAAACATCAAAATGAAATCATCGCCATCACCGAACTTACCACAGTCACAGTGCATGTCACTCTGCGTTTACTTTAAAGAGGACCAGAAGTCACGCCGTATGCTATACACTAGCATGGGTGCTCTCTCTCACTCACTCACACACACACACACACACACACACACACACACAC